AAACCATTTATTATAATTTTAATAAAAAAAGGAGGCACTGTGGAGTAATGGATAGCCGCTCGGATTGGGGAATCAGAGATCCGAGTTCGAATTCCAGTCGAACCCATTACATTCACTTACGTGCTAATACCCTTTATCTTCAAAGGTATGAATCCTCTTCTTATCTCCTGATTTATTTATTAACACAAAACAAAACCATTTATTATAATTTATAATAAAAGGAGGCACTGTGGAGTAATGGATAGCCGCCGGATTGGGGAATCAGAAAATCCCGAGTTCGAATTTCAGTCGAACCCATTACATTCACTTACGTGCTAATACCCAACTCCTGGAAAGGTATGGAATCCAACTTCTTATCTCCTCATCGATTTATTTATTAACACAAACAAAAAAATCCATTTATTATAATTTATAATAAAAAGGAGGCAGATGTGGAGTAATGGATAGCAATTGCAAGAATTGAGGAATCAAAGAAATCAGAGAGCCGAGTTCAATGCCAGAATTCAGTCGAACCCATTACATTCACTTCACGTGCTAAGACCATCATGAAAGGTATGAATCATCTTCTTTATCTCCTGACGCAATTTATTAACACAAACAAAACAATTTATTATAATTTATAATAAAAAGGAGGCACTTGGTGGACTTCTGCATGGATAGCCGCTTGGATTGAGGAATCAGAGAGCCGAGTTCGAATTCAGTCGAACCCATTACATTCCTTACGTGCTAATATACCCTTGGGAAAGGTATGAATCCTCTTCTTCTCTCTTGATTTATTTATTAACACAAACAAAACAATTTATTATAATTTATAATAAAAAGGAGGCACTGTGGAGTAATGGATAGCCGCTCGGATTGAGGAATCAGGGTGCCGTGTTCGAATTCTAGTCGAATCCATTACATTCACTTACGTGCTAATACCCTTGGGAAAGGTATGAATCCTCTTCTTCTCTCTTGATTTATTTATTAACACAAACAAAACAATTTATTATAATTTATAATAAAAAAGAGGCACTGTGGTGTAATGGATAGCTGCTCGGATTGAGGAATCAGAGAGCCGAGTTCGAATTCCAGTCGAATCCATTACATTCACTTACGTGCTAATAGCCTTGGGAAAGGTATGAATCCTCTTCTTTTCCTCCCTGCTATGGATAAATAGCAGGGCAGACTGGGTTCTATACCTTGGATGGTAACTGGTCAATCGCAGAAAGAAATGGTAATATACTGCGCGAAGAAATATTGCTGCCACATATTGTCTGGTGTTCCTGCTACATATTTAGAGTATTTTTTTATAGGCATGCAGATAATTGAATCCTGTCTCGTCGGAACCTCATACCTTGAACTCGACAGGAGAATCCATCACACACATATATATATATATATATATATATATATATATATATATATATATATATATATATGTGTGTGTGTGTGTGTGTGTGTGTGTGTGTCTGATTTAATAAATTAAAACACTATATCTGCTTATTTTATCATAATCCTTTATGATAAAATAAGCAGACATATTGTTTGTAATTTATTCAATCAAACATGCCTAATAGAGAATTTACTGCCAAAATACAGATATATATATATATATGTGTGTGTGTGTGTGTGTGTGTGTGTGTGTGTGTGTGTGTGTGTGTGTGTGTGTGTGTGTGTGTGCCCTGACGATCCGTGGCGGTGAAACCAATGTAAGTTTACCTGGCTCTTTAGGTTCATAGTTAGATTTTCTCTTCTTAGTGTATTGAGCACTTTGCTTAGTTAGTTTTACTTTACTCGTGTCGGACGTTTTTTTTTCTTTGGACTCTGAACTTGGATTCTGGTCGATTAATTTCACCAAAGACATCTAAGGTTTTTCCTGACAAGTATAATTACTTATATTTATAAGATTATTTTATATATATATATATATATATATATATATATATATATATATATATTTAGTTGGATTAATGTGAGTTTGTGACCCCAATGTTTCACGCTATTTGCGATCGTCAGACAAACTGATTAAGTTTTAAATTTGGGATTTATATATAATTGCGTATATCGGTGTTTTTTGTGATGGGGGAAGGAAATTGTCGTCAGAACGCCACTCATACTTACGGAAACATACCTACACGCACGTACACTCATTGACGTACGCAGACACACACACGCGCAAATAATTTTTCCTCCCATTTCCATAAAAACACCGATATACTCAACCATATATAAATCCATAATTTAAAAATTAATCAGTTTGTCTGACGATCGCAAATAGCGTGAAACCCAGGTTCACAAACTCACATCAATCCAACTAAATATGTCAGCCCTGTCACTGATATTGAGCGCGTTCCACAAAGTACCGCGTATATATAATATATAAATAATACATATAAAAAATTATTTACATATATATATATATATATATATATATATATATATATATATATATATATATATATATATATATATATTAAATATGGTGCAGTTCATTTTATATTACAATGAATCATTCATACAAAAAAGTAGATTAGTAAAGTTAATGATATAAATGGCGAAGAACATCTCCGCAAACAAAATTTTAAAGTTACATTAACATACGAACAACTCGATGAATGTTATGATCCTTGTTTTTAATAACTTCAAGTTGTATAAGGTCTTTTTTTAAATCTGCTAGTACTTTCGTCTGTACATACAGCCATCCTCAGGAATGGAAATTAATTTGTTTTTAGTAAATCCAGGTAGTAGCGGACACGAAAAATTAAATCGAAATGTTTTTTTAGAAATGTGTTATTGATAACGGATACAACCTTATGGAGCGTGCAGTCGCAATGCTAAGGTTGATTTTTTTTTTAAATTTAAGAGAATGCGTTTTTTACTAATATGGTAATTTGAGAATTTTATTATTTAAATTCGTAAATAATATTTGCCCATGAAGGAATTGTATTCCTTATCAGTCAAATTTGTAAATAATTATATAGGCCAGACTACAACAGGTTTGACAAGCAGACTAACTCTACACCTTTCTGACAATAGCTCAATTAGGCTATAAATAATGGAAGCCTTATTAATAAAAACAAACAAACCAACACTTAATAATATTAACTTAGAACATGGACTTAATATCTTGACCGTGTTTTGAAACAAAAACAAAAAAATAATGAAAACCTTTTATAAAACATACATACAACAAACTATTTCTAATTTTAACAGTTAAAATATAATCCTTGAAAATGACTAAATGTATAGCCGAAAGCGCTCTGATAAAACAACATTCGGACAGTTTTTATGTAATTTATCACCCGAAAAGAAAAAAAATTATTAGATCGCATCAGAAATTGTATAAAAACTAAATAAAAGCACCTTGTCTGTCGTTTTCAATGAAATGTGCATGAAAGAAGGATTGCTGCCTAAATACGCAAATATGTGTGTGTATATATATATATATATATATATATATATGTCTGTGTGTGTGTGTGTGTTATATCTGTTGCGACGCAGATGTAAGTTAATAAGAAATTCTGGTTATAAAAGAAAGTTAAAATTAATTCTATCAGAAATCGTTCAATATCTCTCTAATGTCTGTCTCGTTTCAAAACGTCAAAAGCGGACAGATTTTCTCAAATGTTTTTCGCTTCGCATCATCGGAAAGCATCAAATCTTTTCTCATGCTTGATTTATTGTGTTTTTTTTTTTTTTTTTGTGTGGCCTATATATATATATATATATATATATATATATATATATATATATATATATATTTTCTTTTTTTTTTATCAGTTGGACACGGCGAAAATTTGTTCCGCAACTTGCATACGTGAACATCTCTCTGGAGCGCATGCGCACACTCGACATCTCGTCTTGTCTATCACGGTCTGTTCATTATCTATCAATTCATGAGCATAAAATAACACATATCGATTGAACAATAGTTAGCTAGTTAGCTAAATAAATGAATAGATGGCAATGTTCATATGAAGCGTTTCCATACAAGAGACAATCGGCATTTATTGACTGAACAGTGAGCGTCTCTTTTAGGCGATGCTTCTGATAACAGTTTTTTTTTTCGGAAAATAAGTGCTTTTATTCATTCTGATTCTTTTTTATGACTTATCAACACCTTGCAGGTTATGTTAGCTAGAAAATATTTTTACATTGCAAGATTTTTTTTGGAGATAATAATAATTACTAATTAACCCATAGTGGGGGGAATAGGTAGATTAATGCCTAATCAGAATTTGATAAGAAATTATAAAGCGGGTATAAAGTAGGGGATTAATTCTACATTACATTCAATACATAAACTAATCCGTCACTCTGTGGCCACTGTAGATGTTATACATCTATATTCCAGAGAATGTAAATAAATCTAAAAGACATACCTGAGTAGCTAATCTGTATTTCATTCATCGATTGATGTATTCGTTTTTTACGGCTTATCAACCCGGTTTGCAGGTTATTTAAAGCTAGAACATTTTTAGATTGCATGAATATTTTTTTAGATAATAATTACTTATTAACCCATAGTGGGGGAAATAGGTAGATTAATGCCTAATCAGAATTTGATAAACAAGAAATTATAATACGGATATAAAGTGAGGGATCAATTCTATGTTACAATCAATACATAAACTGATCCCTCACTTTGTGGCCACAGTAGTTGATATACATCTATTTAAAGCTGGAAATTATTTTAAAGCATTGATTGGAGTGAAATAAGAAAAAAAAATCGATCAGTGCGGGATAAAAGGAATTAAATTGTGTCGACACTTGTATTTGTTAGGCTTGATTACGGATCATAAAAGTTAACAGTAGCATGGTTGAAAGCGCTCGATCAAAACGTTCGACAATATCCATTTTCAGGGGACCAACAGCCTGTTTTTAAAAGAAAGAAAGACAATATGGGAAACAATAAATGTTTTTAAACCCTGAGAAAAAGTTTAAAATAATACTAGAAGACATGTTCACCTATCATACGGTTCCCGCCAGTTTTAATGAACAAGAGGAGAAGATCGCCTATGGCGCGGTTCATACACACGAGACATTATAACAAGAGAAAAGGTTCCTGTATCAAACGTTTCATACCAAACATTATTTTGAACAGGAGTAGCGATTTTTCAAGCATAGCTGTGGCACAAGGCCGAAAGTATGGGGCGCCCAGTGAGAATCGAACTCACTTTTCAGTCATAATTGATCTAGCGAGACAAGCTTGCTAACCATTACACCACCTCGAGGTGCCCTAGTGATTTTCTAAGCCCGGCTTAGATGTGGCAGAAGGCCGAAAGTACGGGGCATCCAGTGAGGATCGAACTCGCTTTTCAATAGTAAGTGATCTAGCAAGACAAGCTTACTAACCATTACACCACGCCGAGGTGTCTAAATTGATTTTCCAAGCGTAGCTTGGATGTGGCACAAAGTAAGGGACACCCAGTGCGAATCGAACTCACTACACATTCGTAATTGTTCTAGCGAGACAAGATCACTGCTGATGAGTGCATTCGGCATTCTGTTGAGATTCTTCAAGACTCGATGACTTACTATATATATATATATATATATATATATATATATATATTGAGTATTTAGGCAGCAATTCTTATTTTTTTTGTTTTTGTTTCAAAACACGGTCAAGATATTATGTCCATGTTCAAAGTTAATATTATTAAGCGTTGTTTTTCTTTGTTTTTATTAATAAGGCTTCCATTATTTTTAGCCTTTTTTATCTTGACCGTATTTTGAAAAATAAAAACATTATATAAATACATACATACAACAAACTATTTCTTATTTAACAGTTAAAATATTTAATCTTTGAAAGTGACTAAATCTATAGCCGAAAGCGTTCGGATAAAAAGAACATTCGGATAGTTTTTATATAATTTATCATGTGAAAAGAAAAAAAATATTAGACCGCATGAGAAATTGTATAAAAAAACTAAATAAATCACCTTATCTGTTGTATTCAATGAAATGTCCATATATATATATATATATATATATATATATATATATATATATATATTAATTTAATTCAATTTAATTCAAATAATTATATTAAGTTTTCGGCTCTTGTTTTGAAACATGAGAACTCTTATGTAGCGTTGGAATCATATTTTTAAATAAATACTTATATATATATATATATATATAAAGTAGAAAATGGAAACAGCTTCACCTATTTGGAAAGGAGTTTTCAGCTAATAATCTGCATTCAATTTCTTACATTTTTCATAGTTATTATTTAACCAATAAATAACGTCCTGGGTATGACGATAAACTACATCCGGCAGCAAGCCCTCTGATCGGAAGTTTTTAAGGACATGGGAACGACCTCTTAATTGCTGTTATTTGCAGGTGCACCATTCCCCTGTTAGAGTCTCGCCTATGGGCAATTAGTGAACCTCCGAAGTGGGGTCAAAACACTAAGAAAGTATAAACAAATGCTTAATAAAAATACCATTTGTATAATAAAATAAAACGCCAGCAACTGACAGTTGAAATTTCATATGAACATAGTAAGGAAAGACTGCTTGGAAAATCTGATACTCACAGAGCAGATCAAAGGCAAGAGGGATAGAGGAAAACAATCTATAACGGTGAGGTTGAGTGAATTAAGGAAATTGTAGAGAGCCATTATCGTCTGTACTGAAGGAACACGGCACAAAAAAGATTGTTAAATGGATGACGGAACAACTTTTAGGAGAGATAACAAAAAGTGAAAATTTATTAAGAGCTATGAAGCAAAGGAAATTGTGGAGAGCCATTATCGTCTATGTAGTGAAAGAACACGTCACAAAAAGATTGTTAAATGGATGACGGAACAACGTTCAGGAGAAATAACAAAACGAGAGAATTTATTAAGAGCTACAATGGACAGGAAATTGTGGAGAGCCATTATCGCCTACGTCCTGAGTGGAAACGGCATGTAAAGTAGAAGAAAAGAAAAAGAGAAACATAGTCAGAGAGAGACAAGACTGAATTTGAAAGTATGGACCAAAAAAAAAATTAAAACATTTAAAAGAAAGAAATAAAAGATTAAAAAAAAAAAAACAACCATTTCACCAGCCTCGTTTTCATTTCATGACGTCCATATCACGGAGAGAAAAAAATCCAAAATGGCTACATGACAATAAAAGAATTGACAAGCTGTTAACATTTTTTTTTTTTTCATGTTCCTCTGGTATTGCTTAATTCTATTAAAACATTAAATTGAAAATAATTTATGAGAAATATTCTTCGATTAGAAATGTTTATTGGGTGCTGCCGAAAAAAAAATCACGAACTAATGAACGAATAACTGATATTTGCATATTGCAGATTAGTGGCTTTAAAGGAATTTTTCCTGGATACAGGCGGACATCAATTTTCTTTTCAGTTTATATTTTCATTTTTTCTTCTTTATCTTTAAAAAAAAAGGCAACTGATTTTTAACCTAGATTTCTTTTATTTGCCTGTCTGTTTATTTTTTTTTTCCTTCGTTCTGAAAGAGAATTGCTGCGATGATTTACAGCAGACAACATGGAACAAAAATCCAGAAGGAAGAGAAGAGAAACGATGATCGGGAAAGAGAAAGAACTCTGTAAATAATAGATGGATAAATTACAAGACAAAACGTTCGCTTGATTTAAAATCTTAACTATGGAAAAGCATCTTCACACGTTGATATATTAGAATCTATCTATCTATCTATCTATCTATCTATCTATCTATCTATCTATCTCATTCTGTTCATATCTATCTATCTATCTATCTATCTATCTATCTATCTATCCTATTTGATATTTACCTTACGTTGTTTCTATCTATCTATCTATCTATCTATCTATCTATCTATCTATCTCATTTGATATTTATCTTACTTTGTTTCTATCTATCTATTACCCGCTCGGCCCGGTGGCTAGGATCAAAGTGTAGTATCTGCGCTTTGTGAGCTGCCGGGTCGGGTGTCTGTCGAACTCTCTGCTTGCAGAGAGGAACCCAGACGAAGCTCTGCCGAAGGGTAGGGTTTCGTTGCGGGAGGTTGACGGAACTGGCCCACTCGGCGGGGTTTGGATGGTTATTTATTTTTGGCTGGGCCCTGCAGGCTCAGAGATACCCACATTAAAAGGCCTTTGTGCCACATTCAATCCCCGTGGGTGGATTGATAAATACCATCTATCTATCTATCTATCTATCTATCTATCTCAGAATATTCATATGTATGTCAGTCTGTTCTTATCTATCTATCTATCTATCTATCTATCTATCTATGTCCGTGTGTTCTTATCTATCTATACATCTGTCTATGTCAGTCTGTTCTTATCCCTCTCTCTCTCTCTCTCTCTCTCTCTATATATATATATATATATATATATATATATATATATATGTTCTTATCTATCTATGCATCTATGTCAGTCTGTTATCTCTCTCTCTCTCTCTCTATCTATCTATCTATTTAACATTAATATCTATCTATCTATCTATCTATCTATCTATCTGCAGGGTGTATCAAAAATAATTTTGAAAAACTTTACGGGCGGGTTCCTCACGTAAAAACAAAAACAAAAGTTCATATATATATATATATATATATATATATATATATATATATGAACTTTTTGTTTTTTTTATATATATATATATATATATATATATATATATCCCGCAAATCCTTTGGCTTTTGAGTTATTAAGTTTTAAAAAAAAAGTTTACGTTAGATGGCGCTGTGTTGCCAGTTAGACTAGGTTACATTTGTCATTCGTGTACATTTGTGGCTAGTTTGTCTTCAACGTTTACCGTGTGTTGTAGTCAGTTAGCTGGGAAGTGTTCCGTTTAACAATGGCAGGATGTCCATACCGTGAGCAGGCAGATATGATTTTTATATGTGGCCTCGCGAATGATAATGGATGCGAGGCTGCACGGCTGTATCAGATTTCAGACCGAAGGCAGATGGGTCATCCAACCATTGCTGTTGGTTACCGTCGCTTGGCTGAGACAAGATCGGTGGAATACCAAAATATCGAGGAAGACCAAGATCCGCTCGTACGCCTGACCACGAAGAACACATTCTACAGGCTATCAGATATGATCCGTGTATCAGCAAACGTCAAAGTGGCCTTATTATAGCTTACATCTCTAACGCATGGAGGGTATTCAAGAGCAGCTCCTGTATTTGTATTGTTTACAACGTGTGCAGCGTCTTTGGGCCTTCTGAACACTTACAACGTGTACAGATTTTCCGCCTTCTGAACACTTACAACGTGTTCAGGCTCTTTCGCCTTGTGAAAACTTAGAACGTGCGCAGGCACTTTCGCCTTCTGAACCCTCACAACGTGTGCACAATCTTTCGCCTTCTGAACACTGTGACGTCACTTGGTCCAGGGTCGAATCCTTTGGTCACGGCGCCAACTGTGACGTCGCTCCTCCTGGTCGCAGCGTCGACTCTGTCGTTCGATCTCGTTCGCGGCTCCAACTGTGACGTGACGTTTTTGCCGCGGCGTCAGCTGTTCGCTCCTCGCTGCTCCAAGTGTGACGTTCCAACCCTTTGGTTAGATGATTACCAGCCTCGCCGTTCCCTCTTCCAACAACTGGTTACTAGGTAACTGTACTGATCTCCGGTCTGCCTACCCACGTTGTGATTAGATCTTAGACAGACGGGATCAAAACAGGATTGGGGCCGTATGCCAGTTGAGTTCGACGGGGTGGCAATGACAAGTAAAAGAAAACTCACGAGGCCAAAAAATTACTGATAAAAAGGGTAACAAACTTTATATCTAATGTTCGTTACATAAAAATTATTCTTACTTCCCGACCCGTTTTGTGGACTGTGGCACCAAGCTTCTATCATACAACTTAAAGACTTCGAGTTGCCTACTCTTTTGAATTTTTGCATGTCGGAGTGTGGTTTGGTTTCGACACTGGGCGCTAATCTCTACCAGTCGTTCACGGCTGATTCTTCTTCGGCTTGAGTTGGACGAGCTTATTCGCTTCGGCTTGAGTTGGACGTATTTCTTCACTTTGATTTGGGTTGGACGAATTACCACCCTCAGGCTTTGCCCCTGGTTTCAACTTCTTCTAGACGCAACTGCAACCTCCTTCTTCTTCCGTCCTGCAACTCTTCTCGCCAAGGTCCGAACTCTTCTCTCTCTGCTGTCTGAGGTGATCTCTTCTCTCTGCCTTCCGGGGCTGAACTGTTCTGCTTGTTTGGCCTGCAACTTTACTGCTTGTCTGGCCTGCAGCTCTTCTTGTCTGGCCTCTGTACTTCGGCCTGTCTGGCCTGCAGCTCTTCTGCTTGTCTGGCCTGCAATTCTGCTCCAACTTCTCTGCGGCCTTCGAGCAATTTCCTTCTCTTCGACTTGGCTGCAACTTCTCTGCGGCTTTCAGGCGATTTTCTTCTCTTCGACTTGGCTGGACGAATTTCCCTTCTTGCCCGCAAAGGGCGAGTGAACCAAAGACCTGCCGGCCGCTCTCCAACTGATCTGGCCGTCTACCCAGCAACTCTCTGTTTTCTGTCGATTGGGGTTCTGCTTTTATTGACGCCGCAACAAACTGGAGTGGGTCTGTCAGCGCTAGGGTTTCCTTGATAATTCCAAAAGTCGCATTAGTTCTGATTTCCCATTATCGCTCTTATTTTCACCCCTACTTCCTCACAGTGCCTCTGGTGGGGAGGCGGATACCCATCTCTCCCGGTCTCTCGTATGTCAGGTGACCGTTTTCGACCAATGGGTCTTGGTCGAGCGTCCTTTCTACTCTTTCTCGCATATCACGTGACTGCTTTCGGCTAATGAGATTCTGGTTGGGCGTCTCCCGTCCTTCGTGACGTCTCCAATCGGGCGTGGTCTATCCCGGCTTTGTTCTGGGAAAGGGACACCTTGCTAAAAAACAAAATCAATTTGGCCTTTTTTTGCGCGCACGAAAAATGACAATCTCGGCCTTTCTCACCTTTTTGGCTTTTGTCAAAACAGCCCGCCGCTAATTAGATATGACTTCAGGAAGAATTTTCTCGTCTCGCTGGCGCTTTCTGTGAGCCAAAACAATTGTTTTCACCTCTTTGTTTTTGCTCAGACCTGATAGTCAAAATCTTAATTATCTGAATTGAAAATGTCTTCACTTCATCATCGTGGGGGTTCTAATTTTCAACAGGTCAAGATCTGTATACAATTCAGCGGTCACTTCTCATCCCAAAGACACCCTTCTCCGATTAATATTTCGTTTTCCATTATTCTAAAAATCCCATTTCTCCAAATTGATAATGAGCTTCTACACAAAAGTAGGCCAGATGCTTTGACCGATATTTTTATCAATCGTACGTATGTTCATACACTTTTACCAAGTCTGTTTTCTTTCTTTCTTTTAATTACCTTTAATTCTATTCTTCCAAATAACAATTTCCATTGTTTTGAAATTCAGTCAGGCGCGTTGGCCTAGATATCTCTTGACACCTGTTTTTTCTAATGACCGGCTTTTGCATTCCCATCTCTCCTCTCCTTTTCTTTTCTTTTCCTTTTTCTTTTCCTTCTTCTTCCTTAGGGTCGCCTAAATACAATTAGAGAATTATTCTCAAACCTAATTATTCTTCGTCTAAATAACTAACAACTGGTTAATAAACCGAATAAAATTAAATCATATTTCTAGGAATATTTCTTTTTAGTTTTTCTAATAATGCAGGGTGCCACACACTTACAATGTGTGCAGGGTGTTTCAACTTCGGAACACTTACAACGTGTTCAGGGTCTTTCGCCTTCTGAACACTTACAACGTGTGCAGGCTCTTTCGATTTCTGAATACTTACAAAGGGTGCAGGGTCTTTCGCCTTCTGAACACTTACAACATGAGCAGGCTCTTTCGCCATGTGAACACTTATAATGTGTGCAGGCTCTTTCGCCTCCTGAACACTTACAACATGTGCAGTTTCTTCCGCCTTATGAACACTTCCAACGTGTGCAGGCTCTTTCGCCTTTTGAACACTTACAATGTGTGCAGGGTGTTTCGACTTCTGAACACTTATAATGTGTGCAGCGTATTTCGACTTCGGAACAATTACAACGTTTGCAGGGTCTTTCGCCTTCTGAACACTTACTACGTGTTTAGGGTCTTTCGCCTTGTGATAACTTAGAACGTGTGCAGGCATATTCGCCTTCTGAACACTCATAACGTGTTCAGGGTCTTTTGCTTGGTGAACAGTTAAACGTGTGCGGGGTCTCTCGCCTTGTGAACACTTACAACGTTTGAAGGGTCTTTGGCCTTCTGAACACTTACAACGTGTGCAGGCTATTCGCCTTCTGAACACTTAAAACCTTTTCAGGTTCTTTCGCCTTCTGAACACTTACAACGTGTTCATGGTATTTCGCCGTTGTGAAAACTTAAACCGTGTGCAGGCACTTTCCCCTTCTGAACACTTACAAACTGTGCAGGGTCTTTCGACTTCTGAACACTTACAACGTGTTCAGTGTCTTTCTCTTTGTGAACAGTTAGAACGTGTGCAGGCTCTTTCGCCCTCAGAACTCTTACAACGTGCAGGGCCATTCGACTTCTGAACACTTACAATGTCTTTAAGCTTCTGAAGACTTACAACGTGTGCAGGCTCTTTGGCCTTTATCAACTTTTATAACGTGTACAGTTTCTTACGCCTTCTGAACACTTACAAACTGTGCAGTTTCTTTCGCCTTCTTAACACTTACAAAGGTTGAAGTGTATTTCGTCTTCTGAACACGTACAACGTGTGCAAGGTCTTTCGCCTTCTGAACACTTACAGCATGTGCAGGGTCTTTCGCCTTCTGAACAGTTACGGCATGTGCTGCTTCTTCCGCCTTCTGAAAACTTGCAACGTGTGCAGGGTCTTTCGCGTGGTGAACACTTGCAACGTGTGCAGTTTCGTCCGCCTTGTGAACATTTACAACGTGTGCAGGCACTTTCGGCTTCTGAAAATCTACAACGTGTGCAGGGTCTTTCGCCTTGTAAACACTTACAACGTTTGCAGGGTGTTTCGCCTTCTGAACACTTACAACGTGTGCAGTTTCTTCCGCCCTGTGAACATTTACAACGTGTGCAGGCACTTTCGCCTTCTGAACTCTTACAACGTGTGCAAGGTCATTCACCTTCCGAACACTTACAACGTGTGAAGTGTCTTTAAGCGTCTGAACACTTACAAAGTGTGCAGTTTCTTTCGCGTTCTGAACACATTCAACATGTGCAGGTTCTTTCGCCTTTATCAACCTTTACAACATGTAGAGTTCCTGTCGCGTTCTGAACGTTTAGAACGTCTGTAAGTTCTTTCGCCTTGTGAACACATAGAACGTGTGGACTTTCTTTCGTCTTCTGAACACTTACAACGTCTGTAATTTCTTCCGCCTTCTGAACACATAGAACGGGTGCTGTTTCTTGCGCCTTCTGAACACTTACAACGTGTTCAGGGTCTTTCTCTTTGAGAAAACTTACAACGTCTGCATGGTTTTCGCCTTCTACAACGTGTGCAGGGCCATTCGCCTTCTGAACACTTTCAACGTGTTCAGGCTCTTTCGCCTTTATCAACTATTACAACGTGTACAGTTTCTTTAGCCTTCTGAACACTTACAATGTGTGAAGTTTCTTTCGCCTTCTGAATATTTACAACATCTGTAGGTTATTTCGCCTTGTGAACACATAGAACATATGCAGTTTCTTTCGCCTTGCGAACACTTACAACTTGTGCAAGTTTTTCATATTCTGAACACTAACAACCTGTGCAGGATTTTTCGCCTTCTGAACACTTACAACGTGTGCAGTCTCTTTCGCCTTCTGAACTCTTACAACGTGTGCAGTTTTTTCGCCTTCCGAATACTTGCAACGAGTGCTGGCTCTTTCGCCTTTTGAAATCTTACCACGTGTGCATTTCCTTTCCCCTGGTGCAACCTCTTTCGCCTTTATCAACTTTTACAACGTGCATTTTCTTTCGCCTTCTGAACACTTATGACGTTTGCAGGCTCTTTCGCCTTCTGAACACTTACAACGTGTGCATGGTCTTTCGCCTTCTGAACACTTACAACGTGTTTGCGGATGAGGCAACAGTTGGAAATGATGGAATAATAAATTTATACAAGCAACATTCGAAGGTGGATCGGAATCTCCATGATTAAAAACATTCTAGACACCAGCATCAGTTTACGATTAATGTGTGGACTGGAATTGTAGGTTTGTTGGTGACTGACTGATAGGTCCATATCTTATTCTAAGACAGTCATACTTGAGTTGTCAGTATGGACTTCATTTCGAACACATTTCCAGACCTGTTAGAGGATGTACCCCTGCTAATACGAAGACACCTACCATGAAAGATGGTTAGGTTCCAGGGTCTGCACGTTTCCCCCGAACTCGGTCCTCTGGATTTTTATCTGTGTAGTCACCTGAAACAATTGGTTTATGGAGCAGACATTAATAATGTAGAGACGCTTCATCAACGTGTCGTGGGGGTCTTTCAAACCGTGTGGGAGTATTTTAAAGGTCCACCAGTCAATGATCCGACGGGTGCATGCGTGTATAGCATGTAGTTGATCTTTTCAGGTACAATGATAGCCATTTGGACAGATGTTTATATGGACATTTTAATTCTTTTTGGTGTCAGGAACTCGACCCCAAATATAGTAAAAGTATTTTTGATACACCCTATATATAATATAGCGAGACTCTTCGCGTAAGCGAATTGAGTCACTGTCAGTCACTGGGCATGTTTACAAAAAGTAAATACGCTAAAAATCTACCTCCATTCCCACCGTGCGCCGACGTGGTTAGAAGCTCCGACTGACACCAATTCAGTCGGGTTTCGATCCTAGCTAGAGGCAAACGGATGTCTAGCCGCACTGATGAGCTGTAAACAGCGAAACAGTCTGTCTGTGGATGACATTATATTAGCTCCTGAATTTGATTTCAGTTGAGCACTCTGGGAGTGAGGTGTGGGTTTGTAAACAGTGACTATTATAGCTAATATAGCGAGACTCTTCGCGTAAGCGAATTGAGTCACTGTCAGTCACTGGGCATGTTTACAAAAAGTAAATATGCTAAAAATCTACCTCCATTCCCACCGTGCGCCGACGGCTTAGTGGTTAGAAGCTCCGACTGACACCAATTCAGTCGGGTTTCGATCCTAGCTAGAGGCAAACGGATGTCTAGCCGCACTGATGAGCTGTAAACAGCGAAACAGTATGTCTGTGGATGACATTATATATATATATGTTTGATTAAATAATTTAGACGTATTGTGTCTATTTATTTTAGTTTTAATCCTTTCAATTCCATGAATTAATTTCTTGGGGGTGGGTGCAAAATGTGATTACGAAAAATTCCAAAATTTCCTTTCAAATAATTTTTATTTTCCCAAGTACTTTCAATCTCATTTGAGACCATCTTCAGGGGTTGCATATCTATGGATGTGTTTTGCATTAACACCGAAATTAAAAAAAAAAAAATTACTTCTATGCAAGGGAGGTAACTTATGTGATTTAAAAAAAAAGATTTTCAAATATTTTGAAATTAAAAAAAAAAAATTATTTTAAAATATTTTGAAATTAAAAAAAATTACTTCTTTGCAATGGAAACTTATGTGATTTTTAAAAAAAGATTTTCAAATATTTTTTATTTACGGTATTAACGCAAAATACATCCATAAATATGCAACCACTGGTCTACAACAGAAATCTGCCTCGTCATATATCGAAAGATACATGATCGCCTAAGCGTGTATCACGCATGGCACATGACTGACTGACTGATTACTAATGATTTTACTATAGGAATGCATTGAAAATGAGGAAGAGAGGGATTGTCAGTGGTCAGGAATGAAGGCAAGCATTACTGAGAGAACAGAGTATGTATAATGTAAATACCCTTGGGAAAGTTATGAATCTTCTCCCCTCCAGCTATGGGTAAATAGCAGGACAGACAGGGTTCTATAACCTTGGATTTCAACTGGTCTACCGTAATAAGAAATGGCATCCTACTACGGGAACAAATCTGCCTCGTCAGTCGTGTATCGAAAGATACATGATTGCTTATGCGTGTATCACGTATGGCACTGATTTACCAACCTTCCCACAAGAAAAGATGCGGCACAAGGCCAGATTTTTTTTTTAACGTGGGCCGTTTTGAGCTCGTAGGCCCAAGCCAAAGTTGCCTATAGACGCTGTATACTAGGGGTCGGGTTTGTCTACCTCCCCAGAAGAGACTCTGCCCTTCAGCATAACCTCGTCTGGGTCCCGCTCCGCCGGGGGCAGAGGGTTCGACAAGGGCGGAATTTTTGTCGTTTTAAAGAAAACGCGTTGCCACTTTTGTAATGTCAACGAATGCTCGTTGTCACTTCCGTAATGCACGTTGTAGTAGAGACTTTGTAATCTCAGATACAACTATAGTAACGCCGTTGAACAATACTGGTGTCCGACGCCTTCGAATAACACACGCACTAATAGTACTTGTTCGATAATACTCGCTCGAATTGTAACAACCGAATAGTAATCCGTATATGAGATATTCCCTAACCGCTCCACGTGGTCGGATGTGGCACAGGGCCGAGTTTATTTTGGAGTATCAGAGCCCGTCGGCTGGGCCAAAAATTCCCGTATCCTCTCTACCCGGAGACAGAGTTTGACCAGCACACTTCTGACGTAATCCGGGGAGTGAGATATTCAGTAACCGCCCCACACGGTCGGATGCGGAACAATGCGAAGTTTATTGTGGTGTATGGGAGCCCGTAGGATCGGGCCAATATTCCCGTAGATCGCGTAAACAACGTGTCCGATAGCTGTCTACCACGCCAGACAAGACTTTGCCCTTCGGCACAACCTCGTCTGTGTTCCCCTCTGCCCAGAGGCAGAGAGTTTGACAAGCACACTTCCGAAGTAATTCCGTCGGATGTGGCACAAAGCCGAGTTTATTGTGAGGCACCCGAACCCGTAGGCTCGGGCAAAAATTCCCCGTAGACCCTGTAAAATACGGGGTCGGGTAGCTGTCTACCACCGAAGACGAGACTCTGCCCTTCGGCACAGCTTTGCCTGGGTTTCACTTTGCTCGGAGGCAGAGAGTTTGACAAGTATATTTCCGTACAATGATCACTTAGACGCCACGGTAATTCCCGTATCTACATTTCTTTTACTATCACGTGATCTACTTATTCAAAATGGGATCACCTTTGTTTGCTCTGTGGTGATCTGTGTTCAAACTCCAGTGTGGGAACTTTATTCCTATATAACAAAGAAAGCCTCCTCCTCGGCCTCAACACTCAAATCTCCGTCTTTTTTTTCTCCAACACAACTCCCTCTTCCTATTCAGCACTTCTTCTTCTTCTTCTTCTTCTTCTTCTTCTTCTTCTTCTTCTTCTTCTTCTTCTTCTCTAAGAGAATATCCTTCTTCTCTTTTACTTTTCAATTCATACTCTTTCCCCCTCCCCACAATATTTTTATTCTTCTCCTTTCCATCTTCTACTTCTTTATTTTTCTTCTTTTTTTTCTTCTTTCTTCTTCTTTCTTGCTCTTTTGAATTCGTCCTTCCTCTTCGTACCTTTTTCTTTCTTTCTTCGTATTTCTTTGTTTATTTTAGTTCCTCTTCTACTTCCTTCTTCCTCTTTCTTATTTTTCTTTTTCAATCTTCTCTCTTCCTCTTCGCTTCTTCGTTCTCCTTCGCTATTCTTTTTTCTACAACTTCTTTCATCTTCCTTTTTCTTCTTCATCATTCATGTTCCTATTTTTTCTTCTTCTTCGTCATCATTTTTCTTCTCTTTTTCTGTTTCATCATTTTTTTCTTCGTTCTTATTTTTTCTTCTTAGTTATTTGACGTCTTCTTTCTTTCATTTTTAATTATCCTTCGTTGTTTTCTTCGTTTATCTTCTACAACCTTATTCTTCACTCGTATTTTCCTTTATTTCTTCTTCATTCTTCCCTCTCCTTTTCCTTTCCTTCTTCTTAAATTCTTCCCTCTTATTTTCCTTTCTTCTTTCTTTCTTTCTTTCTTTCTTCCCTTTTTTTATTCGTGCCTTTTTTCTTCATTCTTCCCTCTTCTTTTCCTTTCTTTCTTCTTCATTCTTCCATCTTCTTTTCGTTCCTTCTTCTCCATTCTTCCCTCTTATTTTTCCTTTCTTCATACTTCCCTCTTCCTTTCTTTCTTTCTTTCTTTCTTTCCTTCTACTTACCTCTTTTTTCCCTTCTTTCTCCTTCATTCTTCCCTCTTCTTTTCCTTTCTTTCCGCTTCATTCTTCCATCTTCGTTTCTTTCTTTCTTTTTCATTTCTCCATCTTCTTTTCCGTTCCTTCTTCTTCATTCTTCTCTCTTATTTTCCTTTCTTCATTCTTCCCTCTTTCTTTCTTTCTTTCTTTCTTTTTCTTTCTTTCTTTCTTTCTTTCTTTCTTTCTTTCTTCTTCATTATTTCCTCTTTTTTCCAGCCTTTCTTCTACATTCATCACTCTTCTTTTCCATTCTTCTCCATTCTTCCCTCTTATTTTCATTTCTTCATTCTTTCCTCTTTTTTCTTTCTTTCTTTCTTTTTCATTCCTCCTCTTTTTTCCTGCCTTTCTTCATCATTCTTCCCTCTTCTTTTGTTTTCCTTCTTCTTCATCCGTCCCTCTTCTTTTCCTTTCCTTCTTCTTAAATTCTCCACTCTTATTTTCCTTTCTTTATTCTTCCCTCTCTCTTTCTTTCTTTCTTTCTTTCTTTCTTTCTTTCTTTCTTTCTTCTTACCTCTTCTTTTCCTTTCTTTCCTCTTCATTCTTCCATCTTCTTTTCTTTCTTTCTTCTTCATTTCTCCCTCTTCTTTCCCGTTCCTTCTTCTTCATTCTTCCCTCTTATTTTCCTTTCTTCATTCTTCCCTCTTTCTTTCTTTCTTTCTTTCTTTCTTCTTCATTATTCCCTCTGTTTCCTGCCTTTCTTCTTCATTCTTCTTTCTTCTTTTCCTTTCTTTCTTCTTCATTCTTCCCTCTTCTTTTTCTTTTCTCTTCTTCTTTTTTCGTTCGTTCCATCCTGATTCTTCCATTTTCTTCTTCCTGTACACTGAAATAAAAGAAGCAACCAATTTAGTTGTTTTCATCTTTTATTTTGTGCTCAGGAATTAACCAAAAAACGGCTTCAAATTTTTTTTTTTTTTTTTTTTTTTTTTTTAGGCTTTCTCTGATTTTTTTCCGATCTACTCGAATCGCATAAACATTTACCCGCGAAAATATTTTGGATTCATTGTCGGCGGCAAACGTGGAAAAAAAATAAACGGAGGTGTGGGTTGGGAATGGCGATCAGGGTAGATTGGTTGTAGAAATATGCTGCTTTGAATGTTTACGGATTGGGAATACTTCCTGTTTGGAAACAGTGACCTCGAATTTGACCTTGCAGAAATCAAAATTCGAAGTACCATTGCCAAACGGTAGAACGAATGATGTAAAAATTGCATCGATTTCAATATAACGACGATGCGGGATCAATCAGAAATTCTATTTGAATAAAATGGCGATGCCAAGCCTAACACTCGGCTAAACATGCCGGAATATAAGAATATTGTCCGTTTCACGTCACTTTCTCTTTCCAAAAGAGCTTCATTAATATAGGCTCGCCTTTCTATCGTCTTCTGTTATGCTTCTTCAGGATGTAGACGATTATGATACACAACTTCCTAATCTCTTTGTGGCTGAAAGTAACGTTTTTACTCTTATTATCCTGATCAATCCAAGTTCTGCTGTGCATTTACAAATGTTCAAAGATTATTATGCAGCTTCCTTCGTTAGGAAATGGAATAATAAAAAAAGGAATTTGGGAATCGTAAAATTCCTGGTTTCCACAAAGGAAACCTTCGCCATACATTGTCCGAAGAGTTAGCCTTACTACTCTTAGGTGAAATTTATAAAATGATTTCGGTTGAAAAAAATCGGGAAAATGACTTCTCAAGTTCACTAATGGCCATGAACACACTAAATGATAGATAAATAGAAAGAGACTGATAGATAAGAAGAGACTAATACATAGATAGATTTGAACAGACTGATAGATAGATAGATAGATAGATAGATAGATAGATAAGTAAAGACTTATACATAAATAGATTTGAACAGACTGATAGATAGATAGATAGATAGATAGATAAGTAAAGACTTATACATAAATAGATTTGAACAGACTGATAGATAGATAGATAGATAGATAGATAGATAAGTAAAGACTTATACATAAATAGATTTGAACAGACTGATAGATAGATAGATAGATAGATAGATAGATAGATAGATATGAAAAGACTGAAATTGACGGACCGACAGACAGTTACATAGATAGATAGATAGATAGATAGATAGATAGATAGATAGATATGGAAAGACCAATAAATAAATATAAAATGACTAAGAGATAGATAGATAGATAGAGAGAGAGAGAGAGAGAGAGAGAGAGAGAGAGAGAGAGAGTATATATATGAAATAGACCTATTGATAGCTTTGCACATAGATATGAACATATTCAAAGATAGATAGATAATTATAATATATATATATATATATATATATATATATATATATATATATAGATAGATAGATAGATAGATAGATAGATAGATAGATAGATAGATATGAAAAGCCAATAAATAGATATAAACTGACTAATAGAGAGAAAGATGGATAGATACAAAGACAGAGAGAGAGTAAGTGAGTGAGCGAGATAAAGAAATATACATTGATAGATCTCTAGAGAATATATTTAAATAGATAGATAGATAGATAGATAGATAGATAGATAGATAGATATAACAAATATTCTGAGAAAAAATGCGCGAACTTTAACACACATTTAAGTATGGCCGCTGTATTTGAAATATTCCCGCGTGACAATTCGACATACATATTTATGCCTTTCCAATATATTTCCGCCAACTTATATTATGTCCGTAGCGGCTCCCCCGGCCCCGGGTCTTGGGTTTTATTGATTACCAGGTTTCTCATTTTCCTTGGCTTAATTAATTCCTAATAAGCTAGGAGGCTGAAACTATTCAGCCCATTAGAGCACGCCCCACCCGGCCTTCTCCGTAGTCAGGAGATTACATAAATGTTTTTAATGCATAAACTATAAAATTACATTGGCCAGTAACGTATATTCTAAAAGAGGGACAAATGACTTATGTGTGTATTTGCATGAGTTTTGTTTATATATATATATATATATATATATATATATATATATTAGTTTTGTTTATATATATATATATATATATATATATATATATTAGTTTTGTTTATATATATATATATATTAGTTTTGTTTATATATATATATATATATATATATATATATTGTTTATATATATACATATATATATATATTTTTTTTAGTTTTGTTTATATATATATATTGTTTATATATACATATTACTTTTTTATATATATATATATATTTTAGTTCTGTTTATATATATATATTTTAGTTTTGTTTATATATATATATATATATTAGTTTTGTTTATATATATATATATATATTAGTTTTGTTTATATATATATATATTTTAGTTTTGTTTATATATATATATATTTTAGTTTTGTTTATATATATATATATATATATATATATATATATATATATATATATATATATATATATATATATCCAAGTATAATTGGTATATACGGAATAAATTCCAATAACAAACAATTACTATTCTTAATGTATGTACGTTTATATTGGTACTTGTTATTATAGATAGATATATTTATGTATATGTTTATATGAAGATATGTATGTATGTGTATATATATGTATGTTTGTGGGTGTATATGTGTGTGTTGACACCTATTATATATGAGATTGTTCGTGTGTATGTGTGGGTATGGAAACTTTGGTATGTTATTACTGCCACAGCAGTTAGTCTCTGTGTGTATATATGTTCATATATGTATTGGCGCATGTATTTATATTGGTGAATTATTTATATATGTGAGTATGTGTGCATAAATGTGTGTATATATGTGTGTATATGTATGTCTGTGTATGTGTACTTATATCATAGATATGTATATGTGCGTATATGTTTATGTTTATATATTTACATGTATGTATTTCTGTGTGTGTATATGTATGTATATATATGTATATGTATGTATGTATGTATATGTGTGTTAATTTGTGTTTGCTACCGCGTGTATATATATATATATATATATATATATATATATATATATATATATATGACACTTTATTTCTGTAGATTTTTTTTTTATCCTGTTTTTCTTCGCCTAATATATAATGAAACTATTATCAACTTATATGATTAAAATATATTTTTATTGATATTTGTAGATTTGGAATTTTCGTTTTAATATATTAAATAATATTATTTTTAGCCATTTATAAACTTTTAAACCCATTTATTTTATCTTTAACATCATCACTTGATAAGACACCGAGAGTGTTGAAACAAAATGGCTATTTTGTAGTGATTTTATAACATATTTATATTATAATTTTTTCTTAAATAAAATATATATATATATATATATATATATATATATATATATATATATATATATATATTTGTCATCCACAGAGAGACTGTTTCGCTGTATCACAGCTCATCAGTGTAGCTAGGATCGAAAACCGACTAAATTAGCGTCAGCCGGGGATTCTACCACTAAGCAGTTGGCGCACGGCAGGATGAAGGTGAATTTCAGCGTATTTATTTTTTAGATAAACACACATTGACTGAGAGAACTCAATTCGATTTACCGAAGAGTCTTGTATTATTAGCCCTAATAGTCACTGTTTACAAACACACACTTCCTCCCAGAGAGTTCAACCGAAATAAATTTTTCAGAAGCATATATATTGTCATCCACAGGCAGACAGTTTTGCTGTATCACAGCTCATATATATATATATATATATATATATATATATATATATATATATATATATATATATTATTATAAAACGCAGATTGTGTGTGTGTGTCTGTACGTTTATATATTGGATCGGATTTCCTACATTTTTCAACCGATTTCAACAAAACATCACAGGACTACGTAAAATTACCTTGCGGTGTTTCTGACAGCGCCAAAAATTGGAAAAACACAATTGTTTTTGCACAAAATCAATTTGAAAACACGATTAAGAGGCATCATTTTTCAACCGATTTCAAGAAAACTTCACTTTTGGGGGGTAGTGTTTCTTATTGCACACTTTTTTCTTTATTTTTACATTCAGAATGCTTTAAAAATTCCATTTACAAGACAATTGTTTATAATAAAATTCTATTCAATCGGTAGACTCATAATAAAAAAAAACTAATTAAGACATGCGTGTCCGTCAACCTTAAACAATAATCTTTGTCAATTTTATTTTTCAGTTTTCATGATGGTCAATACTTGATCTATCTCTTACTGTTACATCCCCAGGCAACGCCAGGCTCTACTGCTAGTATATATATATATATATATATATATATATATATATATATATATATATATATATGTGTGTGTGTGTGTGTGTGTGTGTGTGTGTGTGTGTGTACATATACGCACACATCGCAAGGGCATGAAACCCAGGGTCACAAACTCATATCAACGCAACTAAAATATACACATATATATATTATTATGCTACTAGTAATACTCAGTGGGAAAAAACCTAGGATAGCGCAACTTATAAGTCTATCAAAACAAACTGGTACCCAAAGAAAAAAATTGGAAAAAATAATAAGAAAGAAAATTAAGGATCCCTTCCCACTCAAGGGCAGGTGCCAACAAGAATGTGTGGTTTATAAAGTTGAAATACACAGAAATAAACCTAATAGTACAAATGAAAACGTTAAATTTTATAAAGGACAAGCAGCATGGCCCGGGGTTGCCCGTGTTTGATTCAAAAATCGTACGACTCATACAGTAATCGCTATCACTTGACTTAAAATATTTTTGCCCTTCCCTGCCTTTAAAGGAGTGCCCTTTGCCGTGCTGATGTTGCTACATGCCTTACTTCTTGCCTCACACTGCAATTTTTTTCTAAGCTCTATACTAAACATTAAATTTGTTACGAAAAAAGAACTAAACAAAATGAACACAAAACGATCAGCTTTAAAAAAGGACAGGTAACTGGAAAAACCGAATGAAAAAAGAATGTTAACAACAAATACTTTTTCACACCCAACCCAGTTCTGCGGAATCAGAATCAACGTTGAG